AATATTTTGTAATCTTCAAGAGCGTATAAACCTATGTATATATGAAATGTATTTAGGCATTATATGCTTGTTGGATAATAATAAATAAAATAAATAAAAGATTGGTGTCAGATTCACATTACAATTTTTCAATAATAATGCTGGTATACCATCAGGGCCAGGAGAAGTGTCGGTATTCAATTTATCAATAGCATTAAAAACATCACGTTGAGTTATAACAATAAAGCCAATATCAACCAGTTTATCATCTTGATTTGAATTTCTAATAGTTGGAATATCGTCATTTTTATACACACTTTCAAAAAATTTTGCAAATAAATTTACAATTTGTTGAGGTGAATCCGCGTTTTCATTCCGAAAAAATATAGAATTTGGTAAGCCAGATATTTTTCTCTTAGCTTTAGCATACTTCCAAAATGACTTAATGTCGTGATCAATAGAAGTTTCAATTCCAATTAAATAATCAGAATAATCCTGAGCTTGTTTCACTTTACATTTTTTCCTCAAATCAGAGAAGATAGTATAATCATTAACATTTCGAGATAGTTTAAACTTTGAATGAGCGTGCGATTTCTCCTGAAGCATCATCATCGTCATCGTCGTTGTCGTCATCGTCATCATGATTATGATTATTATTATTATTATTACTTGACAATGTATATCAACACTGTATAACTTAATACTGTAAGTATTGGTCGAAAATACACAAAGGAGTATTTCTGCTAACTGTTCAATGATCAAAACAACAACAACAATAATAATAATAATAATAATAATAACAATAATAATAAAATTGTCCTTGATTATTAAGAAATATGGAAATTACCTGTATAATTGACGCAATTCCTGATAGACCAGCAACCAATGCTACAGATGACTTCGGATGAAAATGTACAGCGCTTATAATGGGACCTTCCGTTCTAGTGTTGGAATTGAGATCCAAGACTCGTTTTATACTTAACACACCACGGGGCAACGCACTAGAGCTTTTGGAAATGAATTTTCCACAGTGCTAAAAGAAGAAAGAAAAAAAAAACAAAAAACATGAACACATATTTCAAACTCTTTCAATACGGATTGCAAAGGATACAAAATATACTTACTTGTAAAATTTCATCATCAGAATCAGTAGAATCTTCATCTCCCTCCTTATCTTCTAATTGAGCCCACTTAGGGGTACCAACTATATTATTAAACTGCTGCTGAAGAATTCCCGTGTAAGCATCAGCTGAATTGCCAGGAAACTTAATAGTTTGCTTCCGATTTTGTGTCCTTAATGCTTCCTGAATACTAGAAATACACAGATTAAAAGAAGCTCAAGCTTGAGAACATTAAAAGTCACATTTCCAATTCTTTTGACGCACACATTATTTCTTTACCATGTTTTCAAAAATATTGCAATATAATTTGAATCTTCACATCACAATTACACATGAAAATTAAATTAAAATGTGAAGCTCCAATGTAGAAAGATTGGTCAGATCATTGACAGGTCATTGAAACACTTCTATGAAAATACACATTTTGTTGAAGAGGTAAAAACTATGAATATTTATATAAAACAAAGTTAAACTGGTGGCCTACGAGTTTGAATCCACATGGCATATAAGTTATCAGTTGGTTTTGCATAGGACGTTCACAGTCCCTCGTGAATCGCTTCTAAGCCTAGCCCCTTCCTTAATCTAAAGGCCTCACCAGGGTGTCTACTAGAATGGGTCTGTGGATTATGGTGGGACAGCTACGAAATAGATCTCCTTAACTTTTAGAAAGGCTCAAGCATCAAATTGGGTCCTTGAGTTGTCTCACGGATTTTTATAACTTAAAAGCTGAGAGGAACCCACCCATTATCTTCACTAAGGTGTTGAGGTTTTGCAGAGTAAAAAGAGTGCTCACACTCAGTATTATCTGCACATGTTTCCTGGAGCTCTTATTTCACTAGATGCAAGAGGAGTGTTAGGGCAAAACATTTGGAGACAATTCAAGGACAATTTTGCATGCGGTGATGGTGAAACGGTTAGCGTATCAGACTGGTATACACAAGTTGGCGGGTTCAAACCCCCTATGAAGTCGTGGATTTTTAAAAGCGAAAAAATCCTTCATATGCCTTCCTTCGAAGGGGAAATAAAACCGGCTGTTCCATGTTATTAGATTTACTTGCATGTAAAAGATCCTCAAGCTTAAATGACACCTCCGAACTAAATTCAAAAACTCGCCTGTTTCTCGCCCAAGAAATACCTCCTACCTCTGCTAGTTGGTGAAAGGAGCGTAACAAAATTTGCATGGTCAGGCGGAAGAGCAGGTTTTATGGCCCGAGTCTCGCCACGTAAAATAAGGCATTAATGCAATTCAATTCAAAAAGGAATTTTGCCATGCAAGGAAATATGAGCTGGTAAAAGAAACCCCTACACTACAAATTGCAAATATTTTAACTAATAGGGCAGCTATTTTGCGAATGTTAAATGGAGATAAGTATTAAGAATGCACCATGAAAACAATCTGGAATGTAACTGCTAAAATAATCCTCGAAAAATATTTTAATTAATACAGATGTGATTTTAACCCATTTACAGACCAATACTTTCATTCTGCTAGAGATGCAAGAAACACTTAAAGAAAACAGCTTCAGCTTCTGTCAGAAAGGAAGGAAGGAAGGTTAGTTCTACAGCACTATATGCAAAGGAATATCATTCAATGATTGATTTGTGCAATGAAAATACACCTGCCGAATTTCTGGTTAATTTTTTTCTTATTGAATCAGTAAAATTGGCACAGTGAGGGGGTGAAGCACCCAATTGCTTAATATATTATTTTCAAGAAGAAGTTGGACATTAAAGCAAACCAACAGAGAGAGTAGCACATAATTCAATATTCTAAAAAATTTGCCGAGGAAATCAGAAACTTGCCTACACGTGATGGCTTACACGAAAGGCAGGTAACCCAAGCAGATGTATCGAATTATTTAAACTTTTGACAACTTTTTTCTCTACAACCAAATGTTTAATTGTATTGTTGCTTTAAATAAATATTTATTCTACGATCAAAAATGCTGTAATCAACATAGTATCTGAAACATCCCAAGAAGAAATATTTTTGGCTGAAGTCTAGTATATGGTACAACTTAAGGAAGTCAGCAGTTCGTGCCACTCCAGCAAGGCGAAAATCAAGGCGGGGGGGGGTTATGAGTGGAACCTTTCGTTGGGGAAGGGTGGTGAGCAATATGCGTAACTTAGTACATACACATAAAAAGCAAAGCATGGGCAATTTACATAAACTGTTAAAAAAATACACTTCTGAAATAATTTTAATGGTTCGTAATTGGTCACGAACATGACATCAAAAGTTAGGGTGGGGGATACTTCACCGTAATATTTTGTCGAAACTTCATTATGAAATGGTGTGAGATGTGTCTACATAATTTTGTGTTGGGTAGCTGTCAAAGTGTTTAGCTACGTAGCTGTCGTACAGTTAAGTTTCTTGCTTTCTTCAGATTTTTTGTGATTTGTGTTTTTGAGTGTCGAGTGCCTCTACAATGGTGAGAATAAATGTGGGTTTTTTTGCGTGTTGCGCTAAAGGGGGTGTTTGGTTGTCATTTAGTGGGTGCAAGAACTAAGTTTGATTGCTGCAGGATTTACTTCTGCTGTGTGTAAGTGACCTAGGAGATTGGCCAAGCAAAAGTTGTGTGATGTTTCGAGTGGAAGTGTAGCAAGAAAGGGGCCACTCCTCACGAGCTTAAGTGTTCTGCGCGGAAGGGGTCATGGTTTGCGGGGAGCAAGTTGAGTATAATTCAGATATTAGTAATGACTTATCATTGGGTTATTAAATAGTCAGTCAAACAGCCATAAATATCACCTCTCAGAAAGTTTCATTCATTTCTGTCAGAGCGCTTAACGTAATTTGAGGAAGGGCTAGAGGAGATGCTTCCTCCCTCCCCCTGGCACACATCTCCAAGAGCATCGCGTGTACCCTACTTTAACCATATTTTTTGCTATTTTTAACATTATGTTCTTACCATTTAATTGTTATTTGCAAAATAGTCCAACTGAATTCCACTCATGGTTCGAAACTTCGCAGATAAGTCCACTCGTTGCTACACAACATGCAAACTTATTGCCACTATGAAATTACCTATGATAATTTCTGATATTTTAAATTTTTCTGAAAATAGTAAGAATCTCCATTTCTTACCACAAGTGTGAGTCTTCTTCATCACGCCAAGCTGGTTGTTTGCAAGAAGTAGAAGGTTCTTCATCCTCTTCATCATCTTCAGGAGTACTTACACCCTCTTCTACACCTGAGTCACCTTCTGTATCCATTATGAGCCTTGGAAATCTGTCATTGTCTTCTCCCAACTTATCCAGAACTGAAGATAAATCTCCGAGAACCAATTTTTCCAACCTATGGATCAAAAATTTTATAAATCAAAACTGCATAAGAAAAAATATATTAAAATTATGATAAGATGACTCTACGTCATGAAAATTTACATCCCTAAATATTGAGTACAAATGGGGAAAAATAAGAGAACTTGCAGTAAAGAAATTTCTCTAATGCATGAACCATAAAACATCTAATCCTGCAAACTACACTCTTGCTTGTTGATTGGTAAAGATAAATATTTTTACGTAATGTAACTAATAAGTAATCATTAAGTAAATTATGTTTCAATCAATGGAAATAACAATATAATCAATGACTATTGACTGTCTTCTTTGTTACTGAATTTTTAAACATAAAATGTGTTAACAGAAGGAAACTAACCACAAGAAACACCTTACCAACAACACATAAAAAAACAAAACTACAGTCATGAATGGTTACATGCTGATTTTACACTTATAGTAATTTTCATTCAATCATACTTCAAGATTGATCTGATAGAAATATGTGTTTACATACATTGCTTCTTCATCCATGTCCATCATTCCAAACTTTTCCTTTTCCTTCGACGGTTTTTCTGGGGTCTTCGGGGTCTTCTCGTTATCGAGTTTTCTGATTTTCTGTGAATCTACTGTGCCCTGTCGATCTTCAAAAAATTTCCGTTTTGAGGCCTTTTTGGACTCGCGACATATGCTGGCCATTTTTCTAAGATGTTTAAATTTCCTTTCTCGAACAACAAGTAGATAGTTTTGAACTGGGAAAAGAAACATGATCACATTTATCACCAAAATTCAGATAATTTGTCGGCAATACCCCACTCATTAAACCATGGATATTTGTAGAAACTGAAAGTAACTCATTAACAACTCTTGTCTTAATATTTACATATACCTTTTTCTCGCGCAAACACGTTCACGTATGTTTTTCAACAGATAGTAATTGCAAGATAACCTATTGATCGTTTTGATTGGATTGAAGATTAAGACACCTTAATTACTAATCTGCATTTCAAGCAGCAAAGCAACATTATTCCACAACATGCTTATTTGAAAAATACAATACGACTTACATAGCCCTTAGAAATAGTGGAATTTCGTAGTGCTATTTAATGAGAACGTCCGCACGCCATTTTCATTTAATGGAAGGGGGGACAGTATTACCAACAGCCTTTTGTATACGCTGGAATATACGGAATATACCAATAATGCAACTGACATAATGTACCATCGCTGATACCTTCTGTACATTGTTGAAACGCTTCAAAAGCAAAATCTGGCTTAGCAATTGGAAAAAGATGCCCTACGGGCAAAGTGATTTCTAATTTTAACAAATATAACGATGTACATTTGAGTTCTTGACCTTGGCAGAATAAATGCATAATCATGTCTGCGTTGTGGTTAGGGACCTGGACCTGACCTGGGATCTGACATCATCTGCGATCTGATTCTTCTCGCTCAAGAAGGGACAATTTCAAACGGATCTGAATAGTTTAGTTCAGAACGCGAGGCAACTTTCGTGCCATTTGAGCAGGGTTGTCATTGAGCGTGCCAAGTGTCTCCGTAAATTGTAATTCATAGAATTTCGCTTGTCCGTTGAGTTTATTATTTTCTTCAATATGCAGCCTTCTGTATTTACAAAAGCATTCATGCTTAGAAGCATGACATGCAAAACAACATTAAATAATGTCCTGGTCTCTTCAAAAGCACACTTTGCCAGTGCTTCATTAGCCACCAATTCCTTTAAAGTGCAGGACCAAGAAGATTTTAACGAAAGAGTGAAGAATAGCAAGAAACCCGTAATAGTCGATTTCTTTGCAACGTAAGTTCATGTCTGATCACTACTATTTCAGCTTGATGATGGCAGTTCGTGGCTTATTTATTTTTAATAATTGTGTAGATGGTGCAACCCATGCCGCATGCTTACTCCTCGTTTAGAAACGGTCATTGAAGAGCAGAAGGGTAAAGTTCTTCTAGCTAAAGTTGATATCGACGAGAACACAGATTTAGCATTGGACTATGAGGTATGGCCTAGTTCAGAGTACTTTAATTTCGTAGTTCAGGACACCTGAGTGTATAATTTACAATATTACTTTTGCTGCAGGTTGGCTCTGTCCCAGTTTTGATTGCCATCAAGGATGGTAAAGTGGCAGAACGTCTAGTTGGATTACAAGATACTGATAAACTCAGAAAGTTTGTGGAGAAAGTATCAGCAAATTGAAATTGTTTTCCAGAAATAATGTTTAGTATTCCAGTCTGGCTATTTCAACCTTTCCGGGGAGTGAAGCTAGTTGAATTAATTAATCTTGTATTCCTTTGCAGAGAAACAGCATAATTTTGCTTAATTTTTGAAAGCAGAAAATAAAGATCTCTGGTGTTTTTTGAGAATTATGTATGCTTTCACTTTTGTATAAAATTTACTCCCCAATGAAACCTATCCTGATGTTGCATCACAGATAGAAACTCATATGGTTGCAGTGAAACAGGAGTTTTGTCCACCTAATTTTTAAAGAAATCTTAAATGAGCAAGACTCCCATGTGAATTGATTAAAAGATAAACATGTTATCAGGAGGGTCTGCAATTTAAATCTAATTTTATATTTCCCACAGTTTCTTAAACTCAGAAAATTAAGTTGGGCAATGCCAAATAGTATACTAACCAGGACAGGAATATCTTGCATTAAATAACATACACTTAAGTTCCAAGTATTATTTAATATGTATATATGTACATTACAATAAAAAAACTGCATAAACAGTATATACAAGTGTTATGTTTTAATCGCAGTATCATCTAGAGACTGAAGAAGTCTTCTGGCTCGTAGGTACTTTTCATCATGGATCTGTTGCAAATCAGGATATTTCAATGTTATTTCCTCTTCTGACAGGCCTGCTTCCTTTTGCTCTGTCCACTGATTTGCCGATTGAACAATGTTTTGACAGACATCTTTAATCCTTTGAAATACCTGCCCTTTAGATGCAGACATGTATTCCAAAAATATTTGGAAGGTTTCCTCCGACACCTGCAGAACAGACAATAATAGTATTTCATTGCTACTGAAAATATATAAAGTATACAATCAACCTTATCAAATAAAAAATGACAAGATAAACTCTAGAGTAGACAAGACTACAAACATAATCATTCCAATTCGAGCAAATGGCCCCTTGTTTTGCTTCTGGGTATAAATGTAAATTCATTATCTGTGCATGTTTTATAGAGTTGAGTGGAAAATACAGTTATTCAAATTTTTGTTCCCCATGTCGAGGCAGAAGAATATTCCATCACGAAGGACCAAAGCAAAAATAATCCGAATCTATAGCTGTTTTGCCTTTGCAAACAGATCAGAAAAAACAATTTGTCAACTATTCTTGCCAAAAATACTCATTTCTTTCCGAATTCAACTTGTTTGGGGCAGCAATACCAGAATTAAAAAAAACATGTATAGAATACACTTCTCCCCATAGTATGTCACACACCGTTTTTAACTGTTTTTGACACAAACAAATAAAACGTTTTGATTATAAAAGTTACTACACTTTACTCTACACTATATCAGTATAATTTCCTTTTAATAGATTGTGATTTGTTGAATGTACATCCTTTATGGCACTAAAAGAATGTGAGAAAAAATTCCATTTCTATTAAAAACTGCATAAAATAAATTTGAATTTTGTGAAGTAAAATGGAAAGGTTACCACCATTTTAACTAATTGAGGTAATTCTGATAGGAAAATTTCTACTATGATAGGAAAAACAACTACTATAGTTATGAAAAATCCATGTTTCATCATGTTTGAGTAGGGTACCTAACAAAGCACTCCTGTCAACAACACAAAAACACAACAATCATTAGAAAAAGAAACTTACAAAACTTTGCAATCACTAGTAAAATGGTTTCAAGACAACAAACTCATCATAAACACTAGCAAGACAGTCTCTCTAAATTTCGAGAAGCCATGATCTAAAAGAAAAACTCTCACAGCATTTGCTAATAAAATAATAACTCTGTAATGATATCTCATTGTAACTAGCCTTCCTTGGACTAAAAATTCAAGAAAACCTAATAATGAACACTTCACATCTAAAATCTTCACAAAGCTCAAGCAAATATAATTCTAAGCAAGAGCTCTCGCTTGTATACACCTTCAGGTCAAAGCTCCAACCATTGAGCCCCTTCAAACCCAATGTATTTTGCAAATGTGTACTTTTTTTTTGCAATTTTGCGCACTCACACCTAAAAATATGGAATAATATTCTGGGAATGCCCGAAAGACTCGCTCAGTTTATTATCCCAAAAAGAATATTCGAACAAATGACCAGCAACTCATAAGCTGGAGTCTTGCCCACCGTTTTTTAATAACTACGATTTTTCCGTCTACCATGGCATGTTATATATTTGAAAATAGGGGGTCTTCACAAAGAAAATTCTCATGGGAAAACAAAGCCACTTTTACTTTAAATTTCTGGATGTATACAAAGCTACAACACCCGTTCAATAAGGATAACTACATGTTCGCCCACTTCTAAAACTGCACATTATCAAAAAAGTACCTAATAGAGGGTATACACTTTGACAACCAAAACTAGGCAATGCTATTAAATTCCATAAACACAATTCATACATTTTAAAGTAAAATTGAACAGCTTTTCCTGCTTAAAACAATGTTCTACAGTGTAAAGGGATTTTCAAATTACAACATTTCCCTTAAAAAATATAAATAAATAAGAATTTCTTATCTCATTAGACTTTCTGTTTTGAGCTGAAGAAGAACTGAAAGAAAAAAGAACTGGCATATCGCATCCTGTGAAATAGAAGAAGATTGCATGACAAAAAATATCCTGTTTCTCTCTGGACTACACGTACAAATTGAAAGAAGAAGAAAAACTGGTCAAAACTTGCCTCCTCACCATTTTAAGTTTTAAATATAGAATGTACTACGATTGTTTAAATTTTATGGTAGTTGCTAACAGAAATTGCAATGTGTATTGTTCTTACTTATTATTATATATTATTATTATTATATTATTGTATTATTATTTATTAATCTATTCATTATTATTAGTAAGTGGTAGCATTAAAATATACATCTTGAAATGGTTAAATTATCTAGCTACTAACAAATACTTATCTACTGTATAATATCATAATCTGAAACTGCAAACAAGTATTGTATTTCTAGGCCAATGACCCCATCTCGATCAGGTTTTGTTCAGTTTCCCTGGTCCCTTGAGTAAATGCTGAGATGGCCCCTCGATGGCATCATATTGACTCGTCATCCACAACTGTAATTGTATATGTGACTCAATAAATATTATTATTAATGCTGAGAAAGAAAACCCTTTTTAATCAAAAGTTGTGATGAGTTAAATGTGATATTACAGCAAATCGATTTTTATATGCATCAAATTTCTACTAATTTGACTTTACAAAAGTACAATTTATAGGTGACTGACTCGTGGAGTATAAATTAAATCAAACAGGATAAATCTTAATTTAATCAACAGGATAAAAAACCCGCTAGTTTAAATTGTAAAATACTGTGGTTAAAAATTTGTCATAAATTGATAAGTATAATTTATACAATGATATAATTAAATTACTAGAGCCTAGAAGAACAGCAATAAAACTTATTATTGCTCAGATTTGAAGACCTTGCACAATTCAGACCACCAATGTGCTGCTGGAAATTATTTAAATTTTCTTTGTTTACTTTGATCTTTTCCTTCCTTTATCACCATTATTTCTTTTGGCACCATTCTATAACCTATCTTTTATAGACAAACTTATCACCAAGCCTGCACATGGGAGAACACAATCATGTTTCTCTGGAAATGGAAATGCGATATCCAGTAGAAAGGGTTGAACTCTGACTCTAGAAGAGCTAACAAAGTATTATAAGACACCAAAAAATTGCAGTTGATGTTCTTTGATCTCTTTCAATGGTGATGACAGGTTTTCATTAGCCTATTCCAAAATTAAAGACAAGCAATCCTATTCTCCACTGAAATATATGTATTCTCCAAACCCCTTCCTGTATATGACACATGGTATATCTTAGCTTAATATAAGAGATTACACAAACAATAGCAGCAAAGAATGAAAACCAAAACAGTGTTTCAAAATTTTACGATTTTAGGATTCAAAAATGTGAAGTGCAATTTTCTGATGCTCAGTTGAAACACATGAACCAAAAAAATGCATAGCCTGCGAAAATTTACTATGAAGAATAATTTTCAGTGATGAACATTCCTTCACATAGACAGCAATTTGTAGGATAGTAATGATGACCAATTTTCCATTTAAGTGTTGATATGAACTTCAGTGTTTCAGCATTTTTCATATTTTAAGAAAGGTTAAAAAAAAAGGTTGCCTGCCCATTTTAAGGAAAATAAATGCCTGAACTTGTAGGCTTTATTTATTAGACATAAAAGAATCAACTTTAAAAATTTCTTTATACAATGTAATACTTGCGGATGTAAAATACAAATAAAATCACCTGAGAGGATTTGAACATGTGTTTTATTAACCAAATTTGCAGCGTCTTCTCAAATTTCCAGTGATTTCTGTCTTCGTGCCATTTCATTAAATACTTTTCGGCTCTCATTTTATTTGTATCCGACTTGAGTTGTATCGTGACGTTATTTTTCACACTAACATTTTTTACTTTCTTTCTCTTTTTCACTTTTTCGTCACAGTCCACATTCTCTGCCTTTTTAGTCTTCATATCTTCAACGTAAACGATTAGTTCTTAGCCTACAATTTTGTAGCAAAAATGAGATGGAGACAAATATCCCTCTTTCTACGCGGGCACGTGTATTTTTGAAAAGATGCACAATACTTCACACGGCACAAAATCTATAAATTGCATTTCCAAAAAAATCGTCAGAAGTACAGAGCACTCATACTTATACTTATTTCTTTTTATTTCTGGACGAGTGAGGGCCTGACCATATACCATATGCCATATACTCTCTGGGCCTGACTTCAAGACAGAATATCACACAGCATTTTGCGTCTTTCTCAATCGTGCCGCTAGATGTCGCAGGATCGCAACCATATCGAGCAGTGCTGCGAAGACGAGTAAACAATACTCCTCACCCGGCGCATTACCGTCAACTAGGAGATATTTTTTTAATTGAACATCTTTGGAAAAAATTGGAAAAGGAGATATGAAAATACCCAATTTATTTCAAAGAAATAAAGAAAACAATGCAACAAAAATGGAGAAAACGTCTTCTTTTACCCAAAAACTTGGTACAAAGTGTACCAAAATACTGCAGGAAGTACTTGACCGAAAGGGGGTGGCTACAAGATATTGAACTCTCTTACTGTGCTATTCTTTATATGTTTTTCTGTTTGAACATTGTTTACTGTGCATATTTGTTTATATTTGCATTCTAGTGTCCGAATAGTTTTACTTTCTTACATGCATTTTCTTCTCTTAGTATACCTACTCCATGATTATTCTGCTAATTTTTCCGCGTGCGAATAGTTTTGTGAGTCACATTTGTTAAATTAGCAATTTTACAAGTCAGATCACCAGATCAATGGCCTCAAGAATATCAGCTCGAAAGCATAGTGCTCACACTCTGGCACACAAATGCATCCTTCAAACCACACAAAAATTTACATGAGTGATTGAACTGGGACTCACTCTCTCAGTCTATGGTCAGAACTATTCTCAGAGTCACTTGCTTATGCCTCTAATGCCCAAGATAATAGCCCATAGTGTTCGCCCATCATTGTTGTCGCGTTCATGAGCGCCCAGGAGACGTTGGAGCCCATTGGCAGCATGTTTTGCAACATTTCGAGCTAACCAATTGTTGTGATGCAAAAAAATTACTACTAATGAATATTTACTGTGCGGACCAATCACCAATGCTTTATTACACCGGCCGCTCTCTACGACATAACCACAGGCATATAGCAACTAAGCACAGTTTTAGATGAAGATTTGAACCGATCCAAGTCATGTGTTCACCCAGGCTAGAAACGTATAATGCCTTAGCGATCACGACTAAATCTATACCTGGCATTCAGGAATGAAAGAACTTGATTATATGATTGATTTAGGGTGTCTCCGTTTATTGAAATAAAATTTGCAAATTAGTGCAAAATGTTGCAAATACAAGTTGACCAGAAATGTTACATATATATATATATATATATATATATATATATATATATATAT